AATGATAAGAGTTACAGAGGAACGTAAAGGCGTAGCAGGCCTGAGTGTACCAAAGATTAATCTGAGCATCAGCTGTCTTGGAGTGCTCCCCCTCAGTGCTGGCCTCTTAAGCTGTTTGAAATACAAATGACCACAGTGCAGCCCACCACACATGGTAGGTTTACATTACAACTCAACACGCAAATCACACATGCCCCCAAGCTCCCCAGCCCCTCACCTCAATACACACACACAAGAGCCACATTACCACCAACATTTGCTCATTACCACATACGCACATTTGTATGAATAATATACACAACTTACAGATGTCTGTCTTGTATGTTGATATGTGAAAATCCAGCTGCCTTGTGTGTGTGTGGCTTTTACAGTGACTGATGGAGAGCATTAAACTGTGTGGTTTCTGGCTGTCAGGGAGAGGGTTATTCAGCTAAAGTGATCATAATCTTTCTTAAACTTCAAGCTGTCCATGCTGAACTCAGCTTGCACCGATATTTTACAATTCACCCCCACAAAGTGCCTGATGTAGCGTAAACCTGCTTGTTAATTCACCCTCGCTGTAACTGTCATCAGGTTGCAGTAAATCCGACAAGGCACATGGAACCACTTTCTCATGAACATGACAGGATCAACGGGATCAGGTGTTGTTTTTCAGGAGGTTGTTTTTTCTTTTTTTTCAAGCAGGGGATGGAAGTGCGACACTATACAGCTAATCAGACTAACAGATGAGCCAATATCCTGTTCTCACATATGCAGGCCTGGGCCACACTTGTTGCACCGTGTGTTTGTGTGCGTACGTGGGAACAATAGATCTGCTGTTTGCCCGTCCACTGCTGCTGCTGCAGAAGCCTTACACCTGTGCTGTCACCCCCAACACACATAGCCTCAACCACCATCCTCCCACCCTTCTCCCATCAACCACATACCCAAATCCACTTTAGTTCTCAGTTTACATCCTGCATTAGCTTTTACTGCCGCTCTATGAAGAACAATGCATATTCAACAGGCTTACCAGGCCGGATAACGTGCACATGTGGCCCTCTAGCACTTCTTGTAATTTCATATCAAATTGAACTTCCCCTCCGCCCCACCCCCCACTCCCTCCTTTAATCTCATCCTCACCTGAACCCATAAGAATGAGGTGTGAACAGTGAGAGTGTTAAAGGAGGCTGGGATGTGCTTGAATTTTAAAGCTTCTTTTTTCACAGAGGGACGTGGCGTTCTCCGGTGGTTTGGCGTGGCCTTTGTGAAACCAGAGCCTTCTGAAAGCACGGGGATGGGCTGCAGAGGGAGGTGAGGGGGGTGTAGGGGTCTGGGGACACAGCCTCAGCTAGCAGCTTTTTCCCGCAGTGTCAGCGTCACAGGTGTGTGAACCACAATGCATGTTTGAGAGAGAGGACCGTGTCCAATCAATGACATGCTGTATTGTCATCATGCTTTGTGGGGACAGGGCTGGTGCTCAAAGGTAAACACCATCAGGGAATATACAGTGAGGAATAAGTTACAACTCTCCGCCTGATAAAGTTTGGGAAAGGACTGGAAAGAAAGATGTAAAGCTCAACACCTCCTTAATGTTTCCATAGCAACATCCAGCCGCTATAACAACAAAAAAGAAAGTCAGATAAAGCTTGACACTGGATTCCTTTCTGCACCAGTTGCTAGGTAAAGGACTTTCCTTAATTCCTCATATTCATACTGGACTCCCTCTTTTCCACTCCCACAAACCCCCCCTGAGAAAGCAAAACCAGATTAAACTTTGTGTTGTTCATAACTTTACCACTGTCTATCTACAGTGTTGGCAGGGTGCAACATTTTTGGGATATTTCCCATAAATTATGACGGCCTATCAGTAGGCCAGCTGTACTCTTGCATTCTGGTATTCAGGGTTGCTATTATGCTGATATGAATACATCTCTCCCCGCCTGTCACAGCGATTCCACCTCTGTATGTGTGGATGTTGAGAACAAAGACACGTCAAGTAAAGCGGCTCCCGCTCCTTTTCCCTCCTCTGGTTCGTTCAGCGTGGCAAACAATTCTAAATCAATATCTTCATGCAAATGATGCCGTCGCCCTGCAGGCTGCTTCAGAGCCAGGTATAGGCAGAACTGCAGCCAGCCTTGTGGTGCATTCAAGCGCTCCCTGTAAACGCCAACTCTTGAGGGCAGCCAAATGTCAAAAGTTGGTGTATAGTTTTGATTAGAAGATGGCATTTAGAGACTTTTGTTATCTTAGTTTTATTACCACAATAAACCTGGAAAACTTGAGGAAGATTTTTATTTTACAATAGCTCTATTTGTCACTTTACATCAACTCAAGCACTTGAGTGACATAACATTTAAAGGTACTGTTTTGTTATTTCCATTCATGTCACTTTTATTTTATCTAGCAGATTTAATGTGTGCAACAGCTTTGTTATTTGGCAGACTGATATCAACCCACTGGTTTCCACGTTGCAATTTCCTATACCCTACAGCACTTTAGAGCGCTGAAATTTTTACTGATGGCTTTTTATGCAAAAACAAACGAGACCATCGGCGATAAGTTTGACAATTTTAATTTGTTACTTTAAATGTCTAAAACTGGTGCAAGAGGGTAAGTGTCAACCAAGCAGCTGAATAAACAATCTTTTTTTTTTATTTTACACATAAGAAAGGCACTACTTAAGCACGTGATGGGCTGCTTTGTCCACAGGGGGCACCAAAATTGACACCAGCTGAAAGTTCCTCACTAGTTCAGTAGAGAAAATATTCTCTAAAACTTTAGCTACAGCTAAAGGCGTGTCCAGACTTGTTTTGACTGGTGTAGCCCACCTGGGGTGCCTCCTTATGAAGGGGTGACATATGCAATCACTTGAACCAAATGAATTCTGTTTCTTTTCCTTTCTGTGTTCATTATGCATACTCATTTTATCATGGTACTATTGGGCTGTGAACTGAGATTTTGCTTATTACATGGCCTCCAACAATATATTCATGTAGTTCAACTCTTGGGTCAAAGCCTTACTTACAAACTGTTAAGCATGTAGAGTTTCAGTCTGATTGAGGCATAGATGGAAGAGAAAACTGATTCCCAACTGAATTATTCAGGTGTCATGTAAAAATCATCAAATAAAAACTTTATTTTGTGAAATTTTGGTTGGACTAATGAGTTTATGTTTGTTCTTAAAGTGCTGCTTCAGTTGGACTGATGCAATAAATAGATTATTTTGAATAACATGTACATATACTACGTGATAACATGCTCATACATGTTTTCCACTCTTTGGGTACTGACACAGATTTAAACTTATTCTCTGGAAACAAACACAAACCCCCAAGCTTTATCTACCGGTTCAACATGTGAAATCCTGATTTTGACTCTGTGTAGGTACATGTGTTAACAGCTTCCAGAGCAATTTTTTTTCTTCAGTGGGAGAAAAAAGAAACAGAGGCACTTTTATCTTAAAGGGACATTTCAGCGTAAATTTAAGTTAGGATCAAACACACTGTAACACTGAGTCAGACACCCCCTCTAGAGATGAATGTTACCGACTGCTTGCTTCTCTGGTCATATCAACTTCAGTAACAACCACACAATAGCAATACACAGAGGTCTATGACTCCATGCACAAACCTCAACCAAAAAGCCACTCTATAGCCATAAATAATGCCCAGAACAGCACCTAACTTCATCAATAGTACATATAGGGTCACAGCCATAGTACTAGCCATCAAACATCTTTTTCTCTATTCTGAAGAAATCAGGCAAAGTTAAAAAGATGTTTGATGGCTAGTACTATGGCTGTGACCCTATATGTACGGTTGATGAAGTTAGTTGCTGTTCTGAGCATTATTTATGGCTATAGAGTGGCTTTTTGGTTGAGGTTTTCGTGTGGAGACATACACTGCTGTGTATTGCTATCATGCAGTCATTACCAAAGTTGGTATAACTAGAGAAGCAAGCAGTCGGCAACATTCATCTCCTGAGGAGGTGTCTGACAAAGTGTTACGGTGTGTTTGACCATAGCTTAAATTTACGCAGGAATATCCCTTTGACTCCCAAAGTTTTAGGTTTTCATTATTTAATCAAAACACAGACTGTGATCATAATGTAAAAAATGTATTTTTATAAATTAATGCTGCAGTAAGGAACTTTTGTTTTGTGTTGGTCCTTGTGCCCCCTGTGGACAAACTGGTGTCTCTCATTCTTTGTCCTGTGCATGTTAAAGTAGTGTTGTCAGACCAAAATCCAGCTAAAAACTCCTCACTGTCCCTTTAAGATGTTAAAGAGTCTAAGGCAGTTCAGTCTGCACAAAAAGTGACAGCATGAAAATAAACAGTCACAAGAACTTTTTCTCCCACGCAGCTACTCCCACTTGATTTTTTGAGAAATGTTTTGAAAGCAGACCTTTTTTCCTTTTGCTTCTCTCTGCGTTTTTAAACATGGTAGAGTGGGTATTATGCTTTTACTTACATAATTATTTAAGATCTCAGCGTAGAAATTAATGATTTACCTTAATCCAACCCACGTAGCAACTAACAGCTCCTATCAAAACAATACGAAGCAAAGGACAAGATAATGGCAGAGGTATTTAGACTTAAGTAGTTAATGATTCACAGTGTACCATGTTGTGTTAATGATCTCAGTCCTGCAGCTGTTGTTTCACTTTGTGCTGATGGCCCATCAAGTGAATACCAACATGTTGGAACAGGTTCTTCTTGACTCATATGAGACACACAGTTGGCTGCAATTGTTTCATTTTTTTTTTCAGAATTGCTCAATAAGACAGGCATTAGTGCTTCCTGGAATTTCAACCCGCACATGTGCAACTCCTGAATTTCCTACAGTCCCTGAAGGTTGCAAAAGTTTCTCATGTGCCACCCTCGTCCTTCCACTCCTGTTAGCTAAAGCTCAGCAGATCCACACCCACACACACACATTCACACACGCACTCACACACACGCACATACACATTCCTGCAGGCGGAGTCTGTGACGTGGGTCGGTTTGTGAATGAGCAGCGGAGAGTAGCGCTCACCTCAGAGCAGAGCAGGGTCCCAGCAGCCGAGCCCAGGAGCAGAAAGAGAGAGAGAGAGAGAGAAAGAGAGAGGAGGAAAAGTTGACCAAATGGAGTTTTTTACAGGAGTCAGACCCCTATTATTTTCATATGTTCTCATTAATGGTATACTAATAACTCTGCAGACTAAAGAAGGTGAGTGCCATTGTTCAATTTATTCTCTAAAACTTTTCCGTGTGTCTGTTAAAGTTGAAGTAAAGCACGCATGCCATGCGGGGAGCCTCCTTGACGAAACTTTTAAACCAGGAATCAAACTTTCAAAAGTTACTCTTTAACAGCTTGAATTTGCACTTAGATGTTTGTTTCTCAAGTTTTGATGCATGCATTTGCTTTTTGAATGGAAATTTTATTAAGTCAAATCTGGAAAGTTCTGGATTTTGGTCTGCATGTGCGCAGATACACTTTGTCACTCCAGCAGGTGAATTCTGGAGATTTTTTTTTTTTTACAGAGTTTAATTTTCATGAAATTCAAAAAGACCATCTGTTGTTGCCTATTCCAAATCCTGTTTTAAAATACGCAATGTTTTCAAACATTCATACACTGTAGTATTATATTGTGGCACTCACTTTGTGCGATAAAACTAAGCAAGTAAAGATTCTGCAGTCAGTTTGGACCATCTTTTTGTGTGGTCTAAAACTTCTGTGTTTCGTTAAGTACGCAATCACAACACTAAAGCTAATATGAAAGAGTGTTTTTTGTGATTTTCCTCTTTCCTAAGAGGATTATATGTGTGATATTAGAATGAAACTGTGAATTTTGAGTGCGTTTATCAATCTAATCTCATTTACTGATGGTCTTCTATTCTCCACAGAGGTGCTTTTGGATATGAGGGCAACAGGAGGTGAACTGGGCTGGTTGACATGGCCTTTAGACCAGGGAGACAGACCTGGGGTGAGTAGCGCTTCTGCTTCTTCTCTCGCTCCCACGTTGCTGCTTGGAATTTGCCTTAGGATAAATCTGCATGGAAGAAAATGCACAGGAAGGACCCTCACTTAACCAAGAACCTCTTTGTGCACAGAAATATTTGACCGTTTGACTTGTGTGGTTAGCTGCTCAGTGTTTGTATATGTCAGGTTTCTATAAAATCTGGCACTTATGAATCTGCACAGGAGTCGTATTAGGAGTTGCTTGCAGAGCATGTCTGAGCTACACCAAAGCGTAGGCAGACAGAATAGCTGCTAGCTCTCAACTGGGAATACTTGTGGCTTCTTGCGGTTTTAAGGCTTCAGCTCCAGAATTGTATGTTAGAGAGCAATTAAGTTTTAGTGAAGTTTGCAGCATGTGGTACCTCTTTTGAGAGGGGGAGGGGTTTTCAGAGCCAATCACTCAGAGCTACCTTTTCCATAAAAAGCGCTTAAACGCTTACATTAAGAGAAGTCTCCAGGAATTAGTTTCATTGCTGCGCCCAAATCCTGTGGTTATCTCCTTCCCATGTTACAGGAGGTATCTGTTCCTTCTTCTATCATGAGGTTTCAGAGTAATTCTCCAGTCAAGCTCATGCAAATTCTCTGTAAATAGCTGCATTTCATGTGCTGATGACTCAAAGGCATGTGCAGGCGTGCTCCTCACAGTGGCTCACCCAACTTTTCTTAAGTTTCACTCCGTAAATAATCACACCAGTTCCCCCTCTTGCACTAATAAGCATCAGGTGCTCCCTCTTTTTTTCTATTGGAAACTTGTTTTATTGTGCCCACTTTCCCATGTTACTACCATCGCTCATAATAATTATTATTCCAGGTTTTAAAGGCCGCTTATAAAAAATGCTCACCAGCTGTTTAATAGAGGTGTCGGTTCTGCTGTTAGACATCAAGTTTACACACAGAGCCACACACTCAGCCAACAAAGCACATTCCTTTAATTAATAGCACAGTGGCTACACACAGAGAGCAAACCGCAGGCTCTGCCCCTGTGGAGGCCAGTTGTTCCTCAAGAGCCCATGTTAAAACATGCTGTCCATTTCTTCAAAAATACTTGTGGCCGAATTTAGTATGCGAGCTGAGAAATTGAGAGAGATGTCAGCAGTTGCAACAGCCTGTGAAAGACTGAATTTGAAATAATTTGGTATCTGAAATGTTGGAAATTCTTTCACACACTGAGGCTTTGAGGTTTTGCTGGCTCCGAGAGAGAAGTTCTCAGTGATGCAGAAATGTCAAACAACTAGGGAGGATAGCTGAAATGGGAATATTTAGGGATATAGCAAACAGATTCGGAAGTAAAATGCTCCCTTGCTCACCCCTTCTGCCAAGGACAGAAGGTTGCCTTGTGTTGCACGGCATGTATGATCCTCATTGGTCAATCAGTCAATCAATCAATCAAGTTATATATAAAGCACTTTTCATACATAGACTGTATCACAAAGTGCTGTACATTAAAGAACACAAGAAGGAGAGGATCAGGGGATACGAAATAAAATACAAATTGCAAAACCCCACCCACCCACATTTAACAGAGATCCCACCACCCACCCACACACTCTCTCACAACCACTGGGACACCAAGTCAGGGCTCAACAGGAAGCCACAGAGGACCAAGGAAACGCTATCTTAAACTAAAATGGGGAAACACTGGAGCTGAAGCTAAACTGATAAAACCATGACAAGATATAGGAAACTCATAAAATGATAACTAATGATAATAATAATAATAATAATAATAATAATACAACTTTTTAAATCGAACAATAAAAGAAAATAAACAAATATTGTTAAAACATAAAATAATAATTCTGGGACTGAAGTGGAGTAAATAAGATGGTCAATTATTTACCATCAAAAATTACATTTGGACTCAAAAACCCCTCTCCTTCCTTCTTTTGCAACTGTTGCATTTTACAAATAGAAAGAAAAAAACATGTATGTTACTAGTTTGTCTGCTAAGTGCTCCTGTGGAAACATGGTGGTGGACAATGTTGCTCCTATTTAGAAATAAAAGAGAGAATGTTATATTCCATTTCTATCTATTCTGCTCTACAATGTTAAATAATTAAATAATACACACTTTACCTTTAAGAGGAGATAAAAAGCAACATATAGAGCCACGGGTTTTCCCCCCTAAACATACTGTTTTTGTATCCAGGTTCAGGTTACAGGAGTTAAACCATCATATGAAATGTTTGGCACTATACATTTCTGCCCCCCCTCTGCCTTGGTTTAGCTATATGCGTTGGGGGTTCCCCAGGGGTCTATGCTCCTAACCTTGTTTTTTTGTGTGGTTTTGTTTCAGTGGGAGGTCGTCCAGAAGACTCTGAATGGCTCTCAGTTCTACTCCTACTCCGTCTGCAATGTTGGGGAGCCCGATCAAGACAACTGGCTGCGTACCACCTTCATCCAGCGACGTCCAGCTGCATCTCGGGTTTTTGTTGAACTTGAGTTCATCGTACGGGACTGCAACTCTTTTGATGCCACCTCGCTGACCTGCAAAGAAACATTTAACCTCTTCACGTCAGAGTCAGATGCAGATGTGGGCACTACCTTCCGTAAGGGTCAGTTCAAGAAAGTGGCCACCATTGCACCTGATGAAATCACCAGCAAGAACGAGCTCCACATCAATAAGGAGACACGCGTGGTGGAGAACCTGTCCAGGAAAGGTTTTTACTTGGCTTTCCAAGACATCGGGGCCTGTGTTGCTCTACTCTCTCTCAGGGTCTACTACAAAATTTGCCCGGCCACAGTGAAGAGCTTGGCGTCCTTCCCTGAGACTGTGGCTGGAGGTGAGAATCAGGCTCTGAGGGAAGTTAGCGGTGTGTGCGTGGAGAACGCCATCATCGAGGACTTGCCTCGCATTTACTGCACCGTGGATGGAGAATGGGTGGTACCGGTCGGACAGTGCCAGTGCAAACCAGGCTATGAAGAGGTTAAAGATACATGTCAAGGTAAGGGTGTGCTCTTGAATTTTTGCTTGTTTCAAAGGTCACTTTGCTCCCAGGCAAATCACCTCTTCTAGGTGGAAACGCAGGAAACAGTTCCCACGAGACTGAGTTCAAAACACACCATTCGGCATTACTCAGCATTTACCTCCATTTTAATTACCACTGGTTGTAAAACAAGTCCATATGGTAGACGGCAGATATTTAGAATAGGTGTTATTATCATTGTTCAGAGGAATTCTCCCTTTGGCTAACACGACTCCTCTGCAATGGAAGGAATGCTCAGACCTTCTTGTACAAGTCTCGGCATCATCCCTGACCTTGGAGCGATACCTATAAAATTAGGAAATGCTCTTTTGAGTTTCAGATGTAATTTGAAGGTGAGCAGTTTCATGGAGAGGTTTGAACAAGCTTTGATCAATAGCTTTTCTTTTATAATGAGTCACTCTTTCAGTCCTTGAGGCTGAAGATGAGTAGTGAGAAGAGTATTTAGAACTGAACTGAAAGTGCAAAAAAGTCTAAAATCTGGATTTAAACATTGCTATCAGGATGGGAGAGAAATGTTCTACTTGTTTTTTTTTCAACATTGTTACAAACTCAAAGTGATTGCTGGATTGAAGGCCACATTTTCAAGAAGCTGCTGAATGAACCCTTCACACAGTTTTTTACTTGCAGCCTGTTGCGTCAGGTGATTTCCTGAAACCTCATTATCGTCAGCTCGCTTATCTGGATTCAGCTCTGAAACCTCGTCCAACAAAAACTCAGGCCTTTGACTTTGTAGCTACAGAGCAGTTTTGTTTCAAGTCCTTTAAAGAGAGCTTTTATTGTTGTGGGATGGGCTGTCAGAGTGACTGAAAGTGATCAAAGAAGCCTGAGGGCTACTGTACTGTGATGGATTAGCATCTTCAAGGCTGGCGGGGGGGCCAGAGGAGGGGTATTGACTTTGTTCATCTTAAGCATCACAGAAAAAGAGGCCCTCCTGTTGTGCACAGGCATGCTGAATACATGTTCCTCAGTCAGTCTCTGCATCCATCTCTCCCTCTTACCCCCCTTGTTTATGAATCACCTGAGCTTCAGCTTTGGGGTGTACCATGTCACCCCGGCAGTGTGTGTGTGTGAACGCACAACACAGGCTGGCATGCAGGGGCCTGTTGAAATCTGCTTCATGACAAACCCCCTCAGACTTCCACTAGACCTGATCACTCCACATTGACTTTTTCTTAGTCTCTTTTAAACACTCGTAGATTTGCATACCTTTAAAGCCACTGGAAACCCTGAACCACAACAGCTTTAAACTATGCAGTACTCTGGGGTGTTATGTCTACTATAGCTACTGTCTGAAAGGTCTCAGAAAAAAGTATTTAAAGTTAAAGTTTAGGTATCTGTGAACTCTCCTGATACTGGATTAGAATTGGGCGAGGTTTCACTCCGTGATTCCTCAATCAAATCGCCCAATCATGCAGGAGTTATCTGGCTGTTGTCATCCATCATCTTACAACAAATGAAGGATGGCTCATGTTAATTACTTATGGCAGGAGTACATGGTCTATGAGATATTTAGCATTCCTGACATAGATTTGAGATCAGATCAAGGTGGCTTAGCTAACACGGCAAATGTGCCCTAAAGCTAACCGATAACTCACCACTCATTTAAATTAATGTTCTTACGTTTAACGTTTTTTTTTTGTCAAAGTTGGACCAACATACTTTGATCTGAACACCTCTATCAGCTCAAAACTGGACTAGGCACTCTGGTCAACCTGACATACTTTTGCTGATAGGTGGACCTCACCTGGTACCTGTCTACTTAGTCAGTAGTCAAATTAAATAGTCTAACTAAACCATAACAAAAGCTTGATTTGAATTCGTATGTTAACAGACTTTCTGATTGTGCACTGTAACTGCACATCTAATAAAAGATAATGGCTCATCACTTAAGGGATAATCAAAAATGTGATTTGACGCACCTCCACAGCTTTGGCAGAGGGTCTTAACCTCCACTTTTCTTTTTCTATCTTTATTCATGCCAAGAGTCTCCTCTTGATTCCATGAAACAATTATCCCATCATTGCTTGTATGAGGAGTTCTGAGCTATCAATGAAACTGACTGAAACTTAACAAAATACCAGAGCAGTCAAGACCAAAGGCCACAGGACTGACTGTCTTTATTCTGTGATTTGTAAAGTCTTAAATGTCTGCTACAGGGAAGGAAGAAGAAAAAAGATTAACAGAAGAAACAGTCTTTTCTTTTTTGTGTGTCTGCAGTCAAGTTTAACTGTGAGAGATGTGTTTAAGTTTTGTAAGGACGCAGGGTGAGATTTTTCTTACGATTACTCATTTCTTAACAAGACAAGATCAGCAAAGGTGTAAATTTTGTCCACAGGGAGCGCCAAAAATCAGCAGGAGCTTTTAAGTCAAAATTTCAGAGGCTGTAAAAACACGATGGAGCGCCCGCGCGCACACACACACACACACGCACGCACGCACGCACGCACGCATGCACGCACGCACACACACACACCTCGGAGTAAAGTAGCAAATCCACAATGTGTGCAGCCTGCTCTATAATAGATTACCTTCCCTCTGAGTTTTTCCTCCCATTTGCAACAGAGCGATAAGAGCGATGAAGTTTTCTGTCAGTACATCATTTTTTGCTGCAGGAAAGTGCCAGGTAAGATGATTAGGCAGGAGGTGGAGGAGGAGGAGGAGGTGAGGCAGGAAGGAATGAAAGAGGAGTGATACAAAAGCGACAGAGAGGGTTGTGTTTAGCGGAGGGGTGTGATTTTAAAACAGAGAGAGGTGAGGAATGGAATGTAAAGGTAAGAGAACAATGAAGCACTGTGTCCCCCCCCAGAGGAGGAGCCCACCTCCACCTCCACCTCTGCCAGCTCCTCTTCCCTCTTGGTTGGTACATTCCTGATCAGTTTGCTGAGGAGGAGCCTCCCTACATTACTCCAGACCTGAGGAATTCCCATGGGGGGAAGAACAGCTCCGGGTCAGGGCCTCACATAAAAACGACTAAACAAAGCCGTCAGAAAAACCAGCGAGATGAAGTCAAATGAGAGGTCAGGAGACGCATGAGGGCAGTTGTTGATGAAGGTGGAAATGAATCACAGGGTCACGGCAGTGCAGGCCGAGATGAATGGTTGAACGAGCTTAAAGAGGAATCTCGTTCAGACACACAGTTAATCATCCTCCCTACTTCTTCCATGTGCTGCGTCTGTCCGTGGAGAAACCACTAAACTTCAACTGCGGTGTTTTTTCTTACTTACGCTGAGACTTTCCATGTTCACTGATGTGTTCGCTCACTTTTACGACTCCTCCGCCCTGTGGGACCTGTTAACATTGAAATTTGTGACGATCTGGTTTTCGTCACTGTCTCCTCATCAGCACTCTTTGGCTTTATGACCGTCCCTACGTCAAACTTTATTTCTAGGTGCTTTTTCTGCTCCAGCTCCAGAGCTGAGGTTTCAGTAGGTGGTGTATGGAGCATTTCTCTCTATGGCCGTCATTGCTCTTTTTAACATTAGAGTCCATCTTTTTCACAAACAAGCTCTAAAGATAAAACGCGTGGCTTCCTGTGCCGCAGAAACCTACCACAGCCTCTAGAGCGGTAAATGTAAAAGCTTTTATGAACCGGTTGTAAATCATATCAGTCAGCTGTGGTGAGGCACAGAACGGGCTTTTGTTTTTCATGGACGCGCCACAGGCTACAATAAAAGAGAATTATTTTAGCTCTCAAACCCATAAACCTCACATACAAAGGGCTTTGGACCCAGAGTGAGTAGGGTTCATGCTGCTCTCAGGGTTAATGTTGATTACCAGGATCATGTGGAAGAATGTCACATTCATTACTCTTTGTTTATACTGCGCTGAGGTTTTGTATATGTGTTTAATCTCCTCCCGCTTATTCATAAATGCCTCACCAGCTCCTGCAGCACTACAACATATTTTAGTAAAGAAATTGTGTCAATATTTCCAAGCAGGAAGGAATTATCCACATTATTTACTTGAGTAATGTGTTAACCCTTGTGTGGTTTTCATGTTTTTGTTACTGAGCAAATGTTTGTGGGTCAAGTGGGCCCACTCCATTATTGGGATTTAAATCAATTAGGGCTTAAATGATACCTCAAATATTTTGAGTACATAATTTTATTTGTTGTTATAATACCAATGTCATACCAGAGATCCCCATGAGTCATAAAAAAATAGCCTAGTTTTTTTTATTACTTTGTGAAGCTAGCACAAGTAGCAGTCTGTCAGTCAGTGAGCTGAAAATGTACTTTAAACTCAACCCTGATCACTGAGTCTAGACTAATGTGGATAGATCCCACTGCTCCTCCTTCTGTTCTGTTATGCAGGGCTGTGTCTTGACTTTTTGACTTGGGCGGCACAACCAGAGCCCTGACATAAACAGGGGTGGCCGGGGTACATATATGCACACACAGATTATCAACATTTACCCACTCTGACTCCACTACCTCCTATAATTACAAGTAAATGTGGAACAGCCAGTCTTACTAGCTTGAGGCACATTATTAAGGCCTGAGTTAAATAGGGATGCACCGATCCAATATTTTCCCATACGAGCCAATCTTGATTCTTAAATTTGAGTATCTGCCAATACCAATACTATTCCGATACCAGAGCTCTGTTAGCTTTACCATCATTATCATCATTAATGTATATTTTAAAACGAGGCTGTAATAAACTTCTCTCTACAGGCAACTTTGTCAACAAATGATTTCCTGAGAGGAGACGTGTCTCATCTCTGTGTTTCATTGAGACACACCTCCAATGGAAATCCATTGTGCAGTTTGCAGCCAGCTAGCGGACTGACTGGCAAGACTCACTTGTACAGTAATTTCAGCAGACAAAGTTAAAGCAAAGACATGACTTATGGATGGGAAATTTCAGCAGGTTGGATAGGATTTTCCCAATTCATGAATTACGTTGGTATCGCAACCCGGTACCGATACTGGATCAGATCGGCCCCCAAGAGTTAAATAATCCTTTTGATACCACAGCAGGGAACGTTGCATTGTTGCAGCAGTAACAGCAAAAATACATGGTTTCTTATTAGATTAATGTTTTAATCAACAGCATAATCAATAAAACACTAAATCAATAAAACAAAATATTTTATTACAGCAGCCATTAAATTTATACACCTTTATTACGTTGTAAAAACATACTTTATGGATGTTTAGTTTGCCTCTGTTAAAGGCAGTATAGACACTATCTATGCTTCTACAATATTGGCATATGCAAAGCCTCTATTGTCTTTATGTTTAATTCATTTTTAATTAGTTGTTTATTCTAGAGGGATGATTAGTTAGTGGCTAACTGTGGTATCCTGTTCCAGATTCGCAGGAAAGATGATGAACAACAATAGAAAATTGTACAAAAATCACACAACAGTTGCTTCAAACCTACACTAATATCTGTTCTGGGATCTGTGATGTTATGTACTCAAGTTAAATATGTGGCTACAAGAGAGGAGATACTGGTGTAATGTTTTGGTCCAATGTTTTGTGATAATTTTTACCAATATTTGAACTCTATAGGGAAAAACCTTCATCTGAACTGTGTATGATCACAAAGCACAATTGCATGGGAAAGTGCATCTTCCTTCAAACTGCATCTAGGGCACAGCAGTAGAGTAAATATAGGTATTTTTCCATGTCAGATATTTGTTAACAAAAATACATGATTGAAAAAACTAGGTGGAGGGAGCTCTCAGTGTGTGGACAGAAAGCTTTTTCCTCTCAGCACCTGCTTTATGTCGGGATTTTGTTCCTTCAAGCTCCTTAATGTAAAAATAAACAATACTAATTTTGAATTCTGGAGGGAGAAAAATCAGATTTTTGTGTACAGCTAAGAGGTTGGCTTTAAAACAACAACATCTCTTTGGGTTTCCACTCGTGACTCACTGTTGACACTGACACAGTTTTCCTCCGGTTCCCAATCACGCCCTTCCTTACCCATAATCCTCCCCTGCACAATAGCATGGCATACCATGTGTCACCCCACAAAGGACCAGGGGCTGTTCTGGCTGGTCCTTAGGTTTGTGTTTAACTGTCCGGGCCCACACCTCATCAGCCGCTCTAATTCTTCTACAAATACGGCCTAATCCCAAATCGTGGTTTCCACAAGTCTGTGTTTGAAAAAGGAGACACAATGTGGAGAATCTGAAATGCTGAGGGCAGTTTGGGCGTCTTGGTGGAACAACTGTCCACTGAGGAGTTCCAGTAAAGACATTTTTCCTCTCGCCAGAGCGATTCCAGTAAACTGTTTCCTCTCTGCCCTCCTCCTCCTCCTCTCTGTCCGTGTCTCCAAACTCATCCTCAGCTGATTTAACAAACAGTTGGTGACTAAGTCATAGCTGTATAACTGCAGGCTGTGGTGAGTGATTTGTACGGGTAGTAATTGACTTGGGTGTGTTTGAGCTTTTTAAGTGAAGTAACTACAGGTTGTGCCTTGCTTTTTCTGCTTTTTTGTCGCTGTTTTAGCCTTCCTTTATTTCTCCCTCTCAGCCCTCCTGTCCCTTAAGACTGTCTATTTTAATCTCAATTTTCCGCCTCTCATTTTCTATTTATTTGATTCTTTCTTATCTCAACGCAGAGCTCCAAGCTCTTGTCTTCATGCAAACACCTCAAATGAAGTGAAATGCGCCTTGATGCTCAGGCTGTCCAAGTACAACAAACTGACAAACAAACAGTTGTGTTGTTGTCTTGTTGTCCGTGAAATCAAATTGAGACTGTTTTTCTTGGCTGGTGCGCGGGTCATGAATATGACACCAACAGAGTTTAAACATCCCGTTTCACACGGCCCTGATGGGATTATTTAGACTGAGTGGAGTTCTCCTCTCTCTGCGCAGTAAATACATTTGTCTAAGACTGACTTGTGAAGATAAATAGAGGCTAAATGTGAACAATGCTGCTGGTTGTTTGAGAGTTAAAGCAGAAGGAAACAAAAAAAAAACCCTGGTTCACAGAGTAGTTAAAGCATAAACATTTAGTGGAGGTGAAATGTAAACTCCACATGCCAGTTGCTGCTTTTCTTTCATATTAGAAGTCAGGATTTAGGTTTGGAAAATACCCCACAGAGAGCAGGATGTCAAAAATGTTGAGGCTTTTGATCTGTTTGTACCTGAAGCAAACTGCTTAATCAAAACCACCCTGAATCTTTTAAGACCAAACTGTTGTGCAATTTCATCCTGTCTGAAGGCGAATATACAAAAAAACATGAGCACAGCACCACACCTCAGTTTGTCAGTGTTCTGATTTAGTGGGCTTACACTGGATTTCAGCTAATGAAATCATCTCACTCCGGCAGGATAATCCCCGCACCAAGTATCCTCCGCTCCTGATCCCTAAAGCCCGTCTGAAGGAAAAAAAAGAGGAAAAAAAAGTAGCTGTAATTCACTTAGACTTTCCAGAAAACTCATGTAGCTGCACAGTCTGGTTATGTCCTCTCTTTAACTCAAAAGCCACCCTGATTACTTTGAATTTATGGTTCCCTCTGATCTGGTGCCAAGGTATCGTCTGCCTCGCGGGGCTGAACTGGAGGGAGCTGGTAAGATAATGGGGGGACTCTGGAGGAACTTTCAAGTGGTGTCATGCACCGTCTTGTTTGGCAACATTTTAAGAGAACAGTATACTGGCAATTATTGTCAGCAGCTGACAGGAAATATAACAAAGATGAGATCTGGTAGCCTCTAGACTATCGAATGAGGATTAGAGCAAATTGTCCTGTTGTGGTTTCGAAGTGTGATCTGTGTTTTGGAGCCTTTGAGGTGTTAGAAAGCCTTGAGCACACTCGGTATCAGATTTATGTCAAATATGATACTTTTGAGTAGACTCTGCCCTGATATTGTTACAACAGTGTATTTGCTTACTTGTTAAAGCCCACTCTGATGAAAATCATGTTTTTCTTGTTGTCTACATCTTCATATTGCATTTTTCTGATGCTACAGGACATATCATGAGAAAACCAAGTGTGAAAATTGCATTCCTGAGTATTTTTCTGCATTTTGCTGTGAATCTCTGGCAGACCGCAACGGCAAGCTCAGATATAGTGAAATTTCCTATGTAGCAAATCCATGGTCCACCCCCAGAGCCCCACTATGCAGGCCAGTCTTGGAAAAGTAGAGGGGACGATCATGGAACAAGCCAGTGCGTTCAAGGATTATGATGCTAAGTATGATATTAACTTTCATCATGTCCCTAAAGACATTCCTAATGAGCTACTGGGGCTCTGCAGAAGAAAAGCCCTTGAAAATGACACAGGTAACGTGATTTTGGCTAAAAACTTCATAATTACAATGAAAAGACCACTGAGAACACTTAAGTATTAAAAAAAAAAAAAGATCGGAGTGGGACTTTAAATGTGAAAACAGAGGGTGACCATGGGAGCACAGAGTCTGGCAAACGTTAGCAGAGCTAGCACCCTCAGCCTTCAGTCCTCCTTGCACATTAACGTCCACACGTTTGCACCGGTGTTTGCTTTGACACAGCCAACACACAACTTTATCACCATTTTATAGACAAATTACTGCCAAACCACAGAACTACAAGAGTCTGTCTGTCATCTATGCTAATTTATATCCAGGTAGTGCAACACTGTGGCTTTATGGCTCTTGCCTTGAACTGGAGATACAGGCCTGGGAAACGACAGTTGCACTACATTTTAGACGGAACACATGACCTGTATTTCAGGCTTACAATAATAAAAATATTAATAAATCATTTGACTGACTCATAATTCTGGTGCCAACAGGTGAGGTTAGTTATACTACAATATAAAGTTGACTAATTGTGCACATCCCTGTCTAATGATGCACTGGGTAAAAAAAATTAAAGCCTCTTTCTCGTGTGAACTCCTGATATTTTTTTGCACAATTTTAGGACATTAAGACCCTTTTTACGGGAAGTTGCCTTTCACACAGCAGCAGGTTAGATGGATGAGAAGGTGCAGTTGGGTAGCATGTGCTGGAAAAGGGAAAAAAAAAAAAACTATTTCAACTCTATTTCAATCACCACTATACTATGCATTTCCTCAACTCCAACGAGGCAGAGGAAACATAATACTGCTAACTTAAATGAGCAGTAGATCGGGCAAATCGAGGAAACTTTGCTCGACATTCACAATGTTATTTCTTTAGCGATGAATGTTCCTGACTTTATCTGCTGCATGACACATCTGCATGACTCACTCCTACTTCTTGCAAAATCTCTCTAAAGCTGGGATGAAAAAAGTCTGTAGGTTCATGTTCACACATGCAGTACATTCAGGTAAGGTGGGAAGTTTCTCAAAGTTTGAAGCATGTGTGAAAGAGTCTAAAAAGGTGCTCACACTGCAAGGTTTTATGTTGATATACACTCAGGGCTCCCTTCAGCATTTTCTATTACATGTGTTGTTACATGTGCTTGGTATGGAAATGACACCAATTGGAGGAGCTTTATTTTTTGTTTAAAGCACATGTGACTATTTTTTAAAAACTCCAGGACGATGTTTAAATGCAAATTTAGTATCTAAACATCTGCAATTAGTCAAATAACCAGGCCTCAGCATTTCTTGGCTTTTTTAGAGTGTGTTTTGGTTTTGGTCAGGAAGTTGGGACATTTTTCCTCTTTGTGACATTCCTGAGCCTTGAGGCTGTGTGTGTGTGTTTGTGTGTGTGTTGTGTTGTGTTGTGTTGGGGGAGTCCAAAGCAATGTGAAGCACATTGTATTGTACTTCTGGTGTGTGAGGTCAGCACTTTCCTTCCCCCCCATGTCAGTCAGTTTGCACCCCACCTCCCCCTCTCCTCTCACCCCCAACACAGCACAACACCCACCCACCCTCCACGGCTAACAGGACAAGCCCACAGCGGAAACCGGAGGTCACCTAATCCCTGGGTGACTCCCCGACCCGTTGGCTCAGGGCTTTCCATTGTCGCTCGGTGCTGAGCGACCTCGCTCAGCCACTTTCCATTTTGTTGTCCTGCCTGATAAGTCTTTTTGTTTATGGGTGCATTTGGTCCCTTTTTGGCCTCTTCCCCCCGTCCAGGAAGCAGACGGCTGTCGGCATGCAGTGTGTGACATGTCAACCTAGGCGCTGTGTAGTAAAATAGTGTTGTCTTTGCCACCTGGCTGTCTGGGTTTCACCAGGAACATGGTGAAATGCATCCAGACGAGTGAGATCCCACTGAGATGTCTCAGAGCTGTGACCTCCATGTCACCCAGTGTTGGTTTCAAGTCATCTAGATTTCTTTAGACCATGTTAAATCAGGTTTTAGCCTCCTTGGCTCCACTTTTGGCCCTCTGTATCACTCCCTGTATCGGTGAGCCTGAGTGGACAGAGCGAGTGAGAGGAGAAAGGGGATCAGGGAATTTATTGTGTTTGTTAACAACCCCAGATGAAAGCCTGAGTGCAATTGTAAAACAGATGTAATGCCCTTACAGCTGCTCCATTGGCCAGCTAATCCTTTTGACTAATGCCCCCCTTCACACACATGCACACACTTCTGACAGACCCTACACCTTTACTGCTCCCCCTCTCCCCCACCACTCCGCCACCTCAGTGACCCCTGGCTCATGTTACTGCTCACCTCCCCCATCAGAGAGCCTCATTGTTAAACCACAACCTGACTCCCCCAAAATGCTAATGACATGTTGTCACCCTGCATACAAACAATATGACATGACATATTGCAATTAGGGGGCTGACTGACTGAGTGAAAAAAGGGGGTTTGGGAGGATAGGTGAGGTAGATGAGGCGGACAAAGAGCGGACTCGTGTTAGGGAAGCTGATAAAGAATTGGACGTTGAGTTTATTTAATGATGGATTTATTTTTTCAGCATGTTTTTTTGTTCCCTGGCCATACTTCTGAATTTAACCTCCACAGTCTGCTGCTGTAACTCTCCCTCCTCCTCCTCCTCCTCTTCACTGCGAGCATATGTTTGTTTTACTTGGCCACTGACTCCCTGTAAGCCATGCACAGTTTAACTCACATTTACCCTCAGGCAGACATGACCTTTCCGCCGTTTTAAAAAGCCCAGCGCCGGACCCGATTGTGGGGGCCCCCCTACCACTTACTCCTCCAGTCCTGAGGGCGATTTGTGTTGTCAAGCCACCATGTTACCCCATTCATCCATCTATCCCACCATGCATTCATCACTGTCGCCATCTCATCCATCTTAACTTTTGCCGACAAACCCAGGGGGGGTCCTTAGGGGGCTCCCACTCCAGAGCCACTCGGGCTCCCAGAATATAACAGGCCCCTGCACTCAGTATCAATAAACAAACACAGAGCACTCAAGGCACACAGGGCCTCTCAAATGACAAACAGTTTCTTACTCTGAGGAAGAAGAAAGGAGGACGAGATGGCTGATCCGCAACCGACCCAAAAAGTCTGGATCCTGAAAAATGTTGATAAAATAGATATTGATGCAAATCATATGAACCTTATAAGTGACTGAAAAAGACAAAAAAAATTAGATGTAGAAGTGAAATGTGACTTAATAAAAAATATGTGCATTACTAGCATGTTTCAAAAATATGTGAGGGATGATCAAATATTTGAAAAGGTTGTGTCATGGTTAGGAAATACCTTTTAGAAGGTGTTCGATTCTAAATGCTTTTTAAAATTGTGCCATGCAAAATATATAAACATGATCCAGAAGTGTCCATGACTTCTCTGAGCCTAATCCTACTTTAGATGGAAAAGTGGAAAACTGTCTGTAGACTGACATAAGGAAGTCTGACATTCTTCTGTAAATCATGGACTCTGTGTCCTTTGCTCTGAAGAGAATAGGGGTGACATGTCTTAATGTTTGCACACACTGTCAAAGCCACCATCCATGATGGTAAAGTGATGCGTACGTGCTCAGGGCAGAGGTAGCTTACACATCTGGGAAGGTATCATTAATGTTGCAACCATCCGATCTGCATTCTGCACAAGTTATAACAGCATGGCTCTGTAGAACGGCCTGGGTTACAAACTTGTCCGTCTGCAGTCCTGATTGGTCAACCACTGAAAACATGTGGTGCATTATGGGTTGATTATAAGACAAAGGAGACCCTGAACTGTTGAGCAAGTGAAATCCTGCATCAAGTAAGAACGTAGAAACTTCAACTTAAACTCCAGAGACTGATCTCTCAGGCTCTTAACTTGATCTTATTTGATCTCTCAAAGTCTTGTTGTTAACAGTTTACACAGTGGCCCAGCTGTTGTTGGTCAGCTGATTGAACTCCACTAATCCAATCAGCAGCCGCCCTCCCTCCACTGTGCTTTTAGTACCTATGTTCATGTCAGGTCAACTCATTTTGGCTTCCTTTACGGTTATTATTCTGTCTCAACACTCTGGTAGTCTCAGAGCTGGTTCGTCATTTGGTCATGCTCTGCTGTGTTTCCATACTTTGATTGGCTGCTCGAGGAAGGAAGGCTGCATCAGCCTCACACTTCCTGTTTCCTGTTGTGTCCAGCAACAATCCAAAGCGGCGCTCCACCTCCTCAGTGGAACCAAGAGATTTCCTTTCACCGGACCCTGCTCTTTTGTCGAGGAATCCTCCTGTTAAATACCTCAGCACAGAGTCATCCACTGATTTTACCGTCACTGTGACTCAATTGTTGAAGATACACAAACTCTGTCACCTTTATTACAAAGAACAGGGGTTGAAACTGGAGCTGCAGTGAGGGCGCTCTGCTCCAGGGCTCCTGTTGGGTGGTGTGCACTGGAATGCATCTTGATTATAGAGGCGGCTCACAGTGTAAGGCCATCATCCCCACAGTCCTGACCACGATGCATTGCAGCCTGCACTGTAGCGCCAAAAAGAGGCTAGTCCTCCTCTATTCAGTTGCCATGTGGCATTTCGGCTATTCCCATCTGCAGTGCTTGTGTGTGTATGTTTTCTCTTTCAGCACTTGAATGGCATGGCATTCTGTGTGCCTGATGGTCAGTGGTGAATAGCAATGTTAATGGGTTAGCTGGGCGGCTTTTTAAGTGAAGACTGGGAGGAGAGAAAGGAGGGGAGGAAGGAATTTGGGGATTACGAGGAGGAGAGGTAGGGGTATGAATTGGGGTTTGTAGGCAGCAGCTGTTGCCCCTTCTCAATGGAGGAGTTCGCCTGGCCTATGTCTTTTCTTTCTCTCTTCTTTTCTTCAGGCCCCAGCAGGATACAGTATTCCTCTCTCTCTTTCTTTCTTTCTTCAACCTTCTGTTCCTCCACTGCACCTCTCCTCTGCCGCGCCCCAACCTCTGCCTCGTTCGCGTTAATGAGTAGCAGTGGTTTGAGTGGAACAGCTGGCCAGAAGAGATGCTTTCTAGAAGGGAAGATTGAGTAACCTGCATGCCTTTTGCAGAAACTGATAAATTCTTCTCATGCTGAGTGGATTTCTTTTCTGCCATTGTTGTCATACTCCTCAGCTAAAACACACCTCTTCATGTCTGCATATAAATGAACCACAGTTAAAGAAGAAGTCAGACAAAGGGAAAGAAATCATGATCGGTCCAGTAAATCTTCTTTGATATGACTTAAATGGAAGTGGAGCCATGTGCTTTCTGATGTGTGTGAGGTTATTTGCAGCCTCCAAATAGACTCCATTTCAAATGAACCACAATGAAAGGCCCAGACACTATCTCTCAGTAAATCTGATATTGTCTTAGTCCTTGGCCTCTCTGTCCAACCCGCCTCAAAGAAGATATGTATTTGTCTTTGACTTTTATTGCTCTGCCTCAGTCTCTGGCCCGTGCTTCATTTGAACTGGCAATTATTCTTCCTCCGTTCCACCTTATCTGATCTTTCTCTAACCATACGTTTCTCTGGTTTCCACTCAGTCCGTCTTTTCTCTTTTGAGTCTCTCTCCTCTGATTTCCTCTGGCGTGCATGCCTGCTCTCATTTGCATTGTCAACATCTTATGACATGAGCTATTTAAACGCTCCAGGCGCCTTGGGAGGAAGGAAATGTGTGTGTGTGTGTGTGTGTGTGTGTGTTTATACATGTGAGTGAGTGTGTGTTCGTTTGAATTGACTTGGCAGAAGGACATGAACAGGTGACAGGCAGCGGACATAATCCCTCTTCTGATGTCAGAATTACCCATGTGTCCATGGGTGTGCTTTGCATACATGTATGTGTGTTTAGTGTGTACATATGGGCGTGGGTGATTGTGTGCAGTTCATGCATGAACTTGTGTGACTATGTGTGTGTGTGTGTGTGTGTGTTGATGAATGTGTGACGGTGTGAGGACATGGAGCAGCAGCCGTTGGAATGCTCTTGTAGAGTTGAAGGGGGGTCGTCTCATTTTCACTCTCTTTTATGGCGCGCTCCCTCCAAAATTTCACACCGTATTAAGTTCATATTTCACCACCGCCATGCACAGCTGGATCCTCTACCTGTATGTCTTCATCCTGGCTGGACCTGTGAAGTTATGCATCATCATATCTAGGTGATATGGTTACAGAGGTCTGCACGTTGCTCCCTGACAGACAAAACAGAGTTCAACCCCAGTAATGTTATTAAAGAAATACAAGCTCATTTAAATGTGATACCAGCAGCTACTTTCAAAACAGTCTAGACCGGGACAGTGAAACACTGGAAAAGTTGTATGACACATAAAAAAAAACAACTGGAAAAACATGACTGGGCCAATTGAGTTTAATTTCCTGAGTGTAAAATTGCAGAGGATTTAATTATCTACAGTCCAAAGCGTTATTAAAAGATTCAGACCTCTCTGAGCCTGAGCCCGTAAGAGCGAAGTGGAAAACTGTTTGCCAACCGATGAATGCAGGTTTGACATTCTCCTTAGAAATCATGGACACAGCAACCTCTAAAAAGTGCTTGTCATCAGGCACACTTTCAAAGCCAGCATCCCTGATAGTATGAGGACACGTGTTCCTGTTGCAAAGGTAGTTTCCGCTTCTGAGAAGATTTCATTAATGCTTAACAATGTAAACAGGTCTTACACCAACAAATGCTGCCAGACATAACACAGCAAAAGGATGCCAAACTACACTTTGCTTGTATTACAACAGTCTGGCTTTGTAGCAGAAGAGTCTGGGTGCCAAACTAACCTGCCCACAGGTCCAGTTTGTTTCCTATTAAAAACACTTACTGCACAAAAACATTAAAAAAACAGAGACTTCAAACTGTTGAGCAGGTAAGAAAGGCTGAAACCTTCAGAAACTTGAGTTCTAGAGTGTTTACACAGTGTTGAGGATGATACAACACAACGGTAAACATGCTAAAACAACAACTAAATTCTGAATAGAAATGTTTGTATTAATATTTTGCAGAGCATCTTCACTCTCATGTGATTAGGATTGTAGACTGTTTGTTAAGGAGGATCTGAGTGCAAATAGATCCTCCTCTGCTGTCTCCTTCATAGTCTTGTTACTTTTGTGATTTTTGTTGCATTTAGTTCTGACTCACTTACAGTCGAGGAATGTGGGATGACTGGTTGAGTTTGCTGAAAGAGACACTACAGGAGAGTCGAATCTGAGGGGGTTGGTGGTTGAAACAGTAAGGAGTAGGAGTGCCGGCAGAGCGGAGAGTCTGCTTTTTTTCTCAGGGTTGGGCTCGTGTGAGCGGTGTCTTTGCTTTAATGGACTATTTCAGAAAGTAGAGTCAACACTGTGAAGCCCTGCCTGACTGATGTGGAGAAACTGGCTATGTGTTGTGCAATGTAAGGGCTTGCCTGAAGCCACTATTGTCCTTGTTCACCTGTTCATGTAAATATTTTCTTGTACTTACAGAGTGTAAGCCTGGTTTCTTCAAGGCTGAAGCATCCAGTGACAAGTGTGAGCCGTGTCCTGCAAACACCCAGAGGGTTGACTCGGGGGCTTCCTCTTGTCCCTGCATGGATGGCTTCTACAGGGCCCTATCAGACCCTCTAACTGGACCTTGCTCAGGTAACAAGTCCATCCTGAGAGAAAGAAAATTCCATGCACACAATCCGGTTTAGTAAAAGAAACAAAGTCCTGAATTTTTGGACATCCTTTGCACTAGAATTGCATTTTCAGGCTTTTATTTCCATTACAACAGCTATTAATTACCTTAAAGTTATAAAGGACTCCCCACATTATTTCTTCCCTGCATCAATCTAACTTTTTTTTCTTTTTTACATTTTCCCATTCTGGGTCCATTAGGCCTGCCCTCTGCCCCAGAAAACCTCATCGCCACCACCACCCAGCTCTTCCCTGGAAAGCTCCTCCTCTCCTGGAGCCCTCCTAAAGACACCGGAGGCAGGGACGACATCACCTACAGCATAGAGTGCCAGCGCTGCGAGGGCACCGCGTGTCAGCCCTGTGGAGAGAAAGTCCGCTACGAACCAGCCAGCTCCGGCCTGACTGACACTAAGGTTGCAGTGAGCGAGTTGGACCCTCATCTCAACTACACCTTCACTGTAGAGGCACATAGCGGTGTGTCAGTGTTCGCCAGTGGGCCGATGCCACGAGCTAATAGACCCCCATCCACCTCTGCTCTGACTACATCTCTGCACTACACAGGTGAGTGCTGCTGATATGAGGTGGTGCAGTGATGCTATCTGTGCTTCAGTAATGACAGATGCTATCTGTGAGGTAGGGACAGCTTTGCAAGCCCAAACGTGCTGCAGGGGTGTGAGAACTCTCCTCTTCTGTTCATTTGTTGAAAGTGCAGCTCAGTTCAGTGAGATTTCAACAGGCAAGTGCCTTTTTTTTACCCTCTCTCCTCAGATCCTCCAAAGATTACCACGATGCGACTGGTTGAGAAGACCTCCAACAGCTTGTCTCTGTCATGGGATGTCTCCCCCAGACCAAGGGCCCAAATGAGGCCTATCCGTTATGAGCTTACCTACCGCAAGAAGGTCAGTACTGATGGTAGTTACTCTTTTTTTTTTTTTTTGAAGAGAGGACTTTTTCATCTCCTGCATGTTACCGCTTAATGTCAATGTAAATGATTGAGCTCAGATTTTCTGCCAGTGAGCTGTCACAGTAGGTAGTTTAGTAGGTAATGCCATGGTGTAATGTAAAATCAATGGCACTGTGAAGGCAGAGCTTTGGTACTATGGTAGTTCTGGCTTGTACGGTAAAAATGTTTTGAAGTGACTTATTTTTCTTTGTCGATTAAAGATCAGAGAAAACGCAAAAACAGACAAAAATGAGCTCAATTTCTTCTTCTCATGCTCCTTGTCCTCCTCTTCCATCTCCCAGGATGATAACCTTGATGTGACAACCTACACTGTGCTGATACTGGAGAAGAATTCAGTCCAGATAAGTGATCTGTCCCCGGGAACAGCTTACCTCTTCAGGGTGCAGGCTCTCAGCGCCGACGGCAGCCCAGGAGGCTCCAGCATGGAGGAACAGTTTGAGACCTCGCTAAGTGGTACGGGAAGAACCTTCAAGAAATTGGTCGAACAAATGTTTTAGTCTTTTCTCACGTGTGTCTATCTTCTGTTGTCTTTACTTTTCCAGAACGCCTTCCAAACAGCAACACAGCGCTGATCTTCTGTGTGGCGATTGGAGGAGCAGTCATGATGTTCATCGTGTTTGTGGTCCTGTTCCTTCGCAGACGGTGTGTATAGCTCCCCTCTTCACTGTTTTCACACATGCGCTGAGCTCCGGGAAATCTGGGGGAATTTTGCAAGTGGGAACACAAGAGATGATTTTTATCTTACCCCAACTTTCCCACCAGCCCCCCTAAATTTACGCATTAGGTCTGCAAAGTCATGAAACTAGAGAACAGTCTGTGTAATCTTTAAACACCACCATATTATTTCTGCTCATTTGTTGATTGACCTTGATTACATTTGGCACTGATACAAAGGCAAAAAAGTTATCTTAGTCTCAGTCTAATGTCTTTTAACATCATTTCCTGCTCCTGTACACTTCCACTCTTCCTAGTGTTTATTCAATTGCGACATGTTTGCATAAACAACATTGGGGATTTCAGGGGAAGGCTGTCCTGAAATTTTTAGGAGTGCATGTGTGAAAAAGGACTCATGTCTATCTGTTAGTCCATCCTGTCGATCCACCAGAGTTGCCTTGCTTCACCAGCTTCCTCTCTCATTCTTCTGCCTTTCCTTTGTGGGGCCTCCAAATGGCCTCTGCATTCAGTCTCTCCTCACCTCTCTCTTTCTCTTTCCCTTTAGCCAACTTTCTCTTTCTCTTTATCTGGATCTGTGTCCCAGCACTCACTAGGGAAGAATTTGCGTTGAATGCGCCTTGTCATTGCTCAATGGTTATTTTCTAGTAAGTGTTGGGGCCTTTGAAAGGAAATTGGTCCAGGGTGGTGCATTGTTGGAGATAAGAGGCGCTTGGTTTCTTTCTGTGTCAGACTGCAGGCACTTTGTAGAGGTGACCCGAGCCTGCACTGAAGCAGACTGCAGCCCGTCTGTCCACCTCCCTCCTGCCTGCTTGTCTCTCTTTCAGTCTTTAAAATCGGCTCAGCAAACACAGTCTATCGTCAGCCTTTCTCAAAAGACTGCTTATGTTTGAAAGGCTGATTGCACCAGTGTCGGGTCCTTTTGAAAGCCTCAGAACGTCTTGAAAAATGGCTACAAAAGGTTGCTATGTGCTATTGATATTAAAGCAGGCAAATCATTACAAGATAAAGAGCATTTGTATTATTGAGGCTGGTGTTGATTTCCACATGGGTTATATCTTTTTCTACAGGAAGAGAAATTCTCACACCAGGCAAGGACCAGAAGACACCTACTTCTCAAGCTCAGGTAAAGAGATCATCTCTCTTTTCCCCATGTTTTATAATCAAGTATATTTTTTAGTGTCATCAGTGTCAGAAAAAGTCTAAATGTCAAATTTCAAAGTAAGTGTAAAAATTGTAAGAGTATGAGGTTTGAGAAAATTGTCATAGATATTTTTGAGGGATAGAGTTATATGAGTACGTGTTGGGAAAGTGCTGGCCCGTACAATATTACAGTAACTAATATGATATCAGGAAACAAAAAGGTGTAGTTTAATGACCTTGGCTCAGATAAAACTGATGTGATCTTCCCTTCCTTGCTAGTTTCTCATGAATTATGACTCATAGGTAACTTGTTGGTGTGGTTTGAGGCAATTCTTTACCATCAGTATACCGTCCAGTTAAATCCAAATTATATGCCATTGTCTGAGCAAATATCCCAAAGTTCAATTGTTTTTCATTCCAGGCCAATTATTTGTTTGAAACCATTTAGAATTTATAGGAAAGCCATTGGTTACTTTATTTTTGAATACTGAAAGAAGATTACTATCATCTGCGAATGATTGTGTTTGACAGTAATGCAAGTTTGTTCAATGTAAATCCAGAACAAAATGGTCCTAAAATGGAACCCTGTGGTACCCCATATTATATCACAGCTCTCTCAGGCTCCACATAAACCATTTGCATCAACACACTACTTTTTATTACAAACATAATTATTGAACCACTTCAAAACAATGTCATGAAATCCATATTGATACAATTAAACAAGTGAAAAGTCATTATAAATAGCATCAATTGCTATAGTTTTCTCAATTGGTTCTTCATTTGTTTAAGTAAATATGTCATTTTGTTTTTCTTACAGAGCAATTAAAACCTTTAAAGACCTACGTGGATCCACACACATACGAGGACCCTAACACCGCCGTCCTGAAGTTTGCGACTGAAATCCACCCCAGCCACATAACCAAACAGAAAGTCATTGGAGCTGGTGAGTGACAACCCCTCTGAGACAATCTGCTGTGGGGCTTAACTCTGAGATGTTGAAAGATTTTTCCAATCCTCAAATTCACTGTTTATATTGTGCATTTTCTCCACCTTAAAAGGCTGACTGACAGTGGTTACTTAAGTGAGATTAACATCCAGCTGACTGAGCTCTCATACAACAAGTTGAGACATTTGTTGTTAGGCAGGTCTTGGCTATGAGATCCATGCTTTTTGGCTTGAGTTGACGAACAAGAACACAGAGAAAGTGTCACAGAAACAGTGTCTTGGAAGGATATCAGGGCACCTTCCTGGTCCCGGCCCAGATCGTTCATTAAAGGTTTATTCAAGTGTGACAACCTTTACCCTTTGAACCGACCGTCTATTTTCTACATACACCCCTTCCCTAGTTCCCACGACCATGCCCCCCCTTTTTTCTCCTCATGTGACAGCTGATTCCCATGCCTCCACACCACAGGCCATCCACTAATTAAACGAAATAGACTCTCTCTCAACACCCAGCCAGAACACACCTCAGTGAGGGAGCCTCAGGCAAAACAGCCGCAGACTTCCTTCTTTTCACGCTTTAGCACAAGAATCCCCTGCAGCCAGAAACCTGAGAACTATATCAAACACATATTTGTATTATATCTCCTTCAGTTGTCTTACTGATGTTGTTGTCTTCCTCCAGGGGAGTTTGGTGAGGTGTATCGTGGTATCCTGAAGGTGCCAGGGAGGAAAGAGGTGGCAGTGGCTATTAAGACGCTGAAGCCTGGCTACACAGAGAAACAGAGACAGGACTTTCTGAGTGAGGCCTCCATCATGGGCCAGTTCTCCCACCAGAACATCATCCGCCTGGAGGGGGTGGTGACCAAATGTAAGGACTACTGTGAGTTTGGCGGCCTTTTTTTTTTACTTCACACAATAATCTTTCCATGCCTATTTGGCCTGATTATTTGTAATTTAATGTGCTTTTATATGTTGTGCTTACAGTCAAACATGCAATGATCGTGACTGAGTTTATGGAGAACGGAGCATTGGACCGATACCTCAGGGTAAGTTTGGAGAACACCATTTCTTGCAGAAATAACTGTTGATAGCAATCAAAGCTCCCATTCCCTCCCTGGTTACAAAACTTACAAAATCTTTGGTTATTTTTCCATAATCAGGATCATGATGGCGAGCTTGGCTCTTTCCAACTGGTGGGCATGCTTCGTGGCATTGCTGCAGGTATGAAGTACCTCTCCGATATGAGCTATGTCCATCGGGACTTAGCTGCTCGCAACATCCTTGTCAACAACAGCCTGGAGTGCAAAGTGTCGGACTTCGGCCTGTCCAGGGTGCTGGAGGATGATCCTGAGGGGACCTACACCACGAGTGTGAGTTTTGGCTCGATCACCAAGTGCAGCAAAGTGATGAAAAATTAGCTATGTTAGATTTAGGTTGTTGGCTCTTGCTTTGTTTCTTCTGTCTCTAACGTAAAGCTTTTTAATGCCTAAACAGGGAGGAAAGATTCCCATCCGCTGGACTGCTCCAGAGGCAATAGCATACAGGAAGTTCACCTCTGCTAGTGATGTGTGGAGTTTCGGCATTGTCATGTGGGAAGTTATGGCCTTTGGAGAGAGGCCGTACTGGGACATGAGCAACCATGAGGTAATTTTTAGTATTTACATCAAGTTGCACATTTATTTTTCTGCCAGTCAGAGTAGATCTAATAGGTCTTTTGAAAATGTCTTTGCAGGTGATGAAAGCTATCAATGAGGCCTTTAGACTGCCGGCGCCGATGGACTGTCCCTCAGCCGTTTATCAGCTGATGCTGCAGTGCTGGCTCCAGGATCGCTCCAAAAGGCCGCGCTTTGGAGACATAGTCAGTCTGCTGGACAAGCTGCTGAGGAGCCCGGACTCCCTGAAGACCATTGCAGACTTTGACCCACGGTAAGGTTTATTTGCATAGCAGATAAAGAGTCTCAAATGCATATTTTTCCAGCGATAACTATTTAATATCTGCCAATATCAGCAATAATTTAGTGGAAACAACCCTGTAGCCAAAACTTTGACAAATTTCTGAAATGTACCGGCTTTAGACAGATTTCCCCCAAATGCTGACGTCTTGTGTTCTCACACGCTCCTTTCCTGGTGGTTGTTATCTATTTCTAATCTTGATTTTTCTATCTATATGGTGCTTTTTTAATCATGGAAGTCTGACAACCAGTACTCTGAGACATGCAATCTTTTCAAAGGTAGTTTTATGTCAAATTGGAAAGATACCTTTGCAGTACATGAGCATTTTCTTGGTATTCTTGATATAAGTGCCTGTGTTTTCTGTGTTTTCTGTGTTTTCTGTGTTTTGACGGCTTAACCTGTGGCTTAAATGCCTTGTGTGGCCTGCACTTGGTATTTTTATGACTTAATCTGAGCAATGTTCAAACTCCTACTCTGCTCAACTGGAATACACTTTAAGGTCCCATGTAATGAAAATCACACTTTTTCTTGTTCATAAAAACACTGCATATACTTAAGTCATCCTCTGGTCTAGCCACCTGAGGATGTAGACGTGGAAAAGCCTCTGCATTGTTTCTTTCGCCCACCTACTGTGAAAACATAGCCTTTACAAGATGATCTGAATTGTCTCCTGTAGTGACATAACAACAGGAGGGGTCTGCACAGGCATGCATACAAACCCACTTCTACTCCTGCAGCAGCCCCCCCTTCTGAAATACTGTCGTGGTTTTACTTCAGTCTTGCAGAGCCATGATGTCAAAGGTTAAAGCCAGTCAAGCCAACTCACCTGCTGTTAAAACCAATACAAAGGTCTGTAGTCTGTCTCATTTCAACAATTCAATAAAGGTCTGACCAGATAAAGCTGCACGCAAAAGGCAAGAAATTTGTAGTAACCCTCAAATTTTTGCGTATCACTCAGAGACCTGCTATTGTGACTGTAGCTGCAACACTTGAACATTTGCCTTGTTGAAAAATTTGAATCATATGTAAAGTCGACTGGTGTATGTTCTTCTGGCAGCATTTACCATTTCTGTCCCTTCAGACAACATTCATGCAACCAAGCAGTGCAGGGCCCCATCTGTGGCATCTACCCTCTCAGATTCATGCATAATTGGTTTTGAAACTGAGCGGCTGCAGATCTTCCACAAATGCTGAAGTTGTGATGTCTTTTAGTAGGTGAATTCAAAATCTTGCTCTAAATCATGTTGTAAACCGCTAAAATTGCCATCATATGAGACTTTTAAAATGGATTTTAAAAGTTGTTGGTCATGAGATCAAAGCTGCTAAAGCTTGCCTTCATGCAAACTTGTCTTGAATGACTAAAGTCTTGACCTTTGCAAGTCTATGAAGTCACATACTTCAGAAACAGCTTCTGCAGCAGCAGCCTCCCTTTAATGAAGTTATAAAGAGGCTGGGTGTTAAGGGTTGTTCAGGGAAGAAAAGGAATGGCTTTAAGATGTTCTCCTTAAACCATTAAAAGGATACACTGACACTTTGCCTGCCAAGCTAATGAAAGAAATGTGTGTGCACTCCTGGCAGGAGATTACAAAGCCCTGTTGTGTGCGATTAGGTGCTTGAATGCATATTTTCCCTTTTGTGAAGAAGCATTAGAGCCAGAAACACTGAGAAAGGACAAAGACTGTCATGCACGCATCTCGATTGGTTTTCACCCTGACTGCTCCAACTGGTTTTTATCACCAACTGGTTTCCTCCACAGTAATTACAGACCTCAGTCATCTGCCTTTGTTGTGGGAAAGCCTGTTGATTATTATCGTTTGGATCTACTTGTCTTTCTTACAGTGTATCCATCCGCCTGCCGAGCACCAGCGGCTCGGACGGTTCCCCCTTCAGGTCGGTGTCTGAGTGGCTGGAGTCCATCAAGATGAGCCAGTACAGCGAGAACTTCGCCTGCGCTGGAGTCATCACGATGGATCAGGTCCTACAGATGAAGAACGAGTAAGTAAACTTGATTTCAAGACATTTGAAGCTCTAATTTGTTTAAAACAGAATGTCAGGGGCAGAGAAAATTAACATTTCTGAGGCACATCATGCCCTGGTTGTAAAAAAATCAAAATAAAGAGCCAAGTTTTTCACCCTTGAATGCGTTTATTATGAGCTCTTGCCTAGTAAATTATGATTGTTTCTCTAAAACAATGTTGCCGGCAGAATAGTTTGCGCACAATATAATCTCAACCTCAGTTACAACTTGAGAAATGTTTCGAGATGGAAAAAGTAATGGAGGGAAGGAGAAGGAGTGGGCTCATTTGTGGTAGACTGGCGGTGATGGCTTGTGGTCGCTACAGTCCTTATTCCTCTCTTCCTCCTCCATGCTTTCTCTCATCCCTCTTTCCCACGTACACACTGGCAGCACTTTTGCTTGAGCCCCGAAAAACCACCAGTCCTGCCTGTTAAGGGCAAAGGCCCCTTGTGGCTTTCTTTAACATTAAAGGAGGGAAGGAAGAAGAGAGCATTCCCCGTGGAGCAGGAGCAACTAAAGGAGATTAAGGAGCTGAAATAGATTGACGACATTTCAAGCCCTGTAGTCGGTACGTTTGTTCTTTGAGAAAGATTGAAGAGGTGTGCTCAGAATGTCCCGCTGAACTTCTCACAAGGGTAGTTTAAGGCAATTGGATCGTCTTAGATGTGTAGGCTTGCTAAGGGGTTAGGGTTAGGATTGCTAAGGGGGCAATTTGGTGAAATAGACTCGACCTTAAGGGGGAAAAAAGGCTCAGGAAAACTCACAACATAAGGATTCTTTTGGGGCAATAACGAGGGCCAGAGCTTTTTCTAACCGCATGACCGACTGAAAGTCTCCCCTTCTCTTCATGGTATACTTATCTCAGCTGGTCTTCCTCATGATTTGGGTAGATGGGCACAGTTTAAAGCAGGCAGACAACCTTTTTGAAGTATTTGTCATAGAGAATGGTGTGATTTCATGGCCCCATGTTTCCATCCAAGGGCATCTGGTAGCACTCTTGGAAAAAACCAGCAGTTATTTACGACGCTGCCTCTGCTTGCCAGACGAGTGATTCATGGTCAACTGGGAGAATCCTCATTAAGTAATTAAGGCTGTAATTAAGACTTGGGCTCTTGGCTGCTGTGTTGCATGAACTTTGCAGATCTTGAAACCTCTGTATCATCATTTTAATTATGAAGATGTTCAAGGAAATCTCAGTAGATTATTTGCCTGGCACTTAACCAGCTCTTCTGAACCGGTTTAGTGATCAAGCTAGACAAGAAAGGAGTCACCTGGCTCTTTGTCACACTGGATGACTGACGGATTACTACAAAGCATGAGAAACAGGAAGGATGTGCTTGCAAGGTGTTGGACGGAAGCCAAAGTGTAAACCCAGATGCAGCTCTCTCAAATGCTGTCATGTCTCTCTCTCTTTTACAGGGATATAAAGAACATTGGGGTGAGACTACCCGGCCATTTGAAAAGAATCGCCTACAGCATCCTGGGTTTGAAGGACCAGACCAGCACTCTTAGTGTGTTTGCAGTGTGATCCTCGACTCTTAAGGGAATTACATTCAGGCTTTGAAGCAACCGGCCCTTTGGACTCTAAGCAGAGCTGAGGCGATACTGCAGGGGCGGCTGTGGATCAGCAGGACCAACAGAACTGTGCCATTTTTGGGCGGACTGAATCACAAAAACCATCTGTATATTTTTTGATTTCTTCATCTTATTCACACGGGAAATAAGCAAAACATACAAAAATAGATGTATTGAGTAGACTTTGTATATTTAGATATCTATTTTTACTATCCTTGTCTTCTGTACAGATACGATTCATTGCTCATTATCTTTCTTCATTTCACATTCCTGCTTTTTAAAAATCAACAATCCAGCTAGCCCTGGAAACAGCTTCAGCTTTACAACTTTGCACCCTGAGCTCGCTGCATTCAGTTTCCATTAAACAAAAGAGGCACAGTCGCTGTGATAATACAGGGAATCAGCAGAGTCCCGCCCTGGCTCAGGTTGTGGTTGGTGCTGATGTCACAGCGTCTCCTGTTAATTGGCACTTTGGCCCTCTTCCTGTTAGAACAATAAGGATGAAGCTGTGCGAGGGCTGAGATTAGCTTGAGCTGGCCCAAAGTTAGGAGAGACTGTGTTGCTTAGATGTGTAAACACAGATGGGCCAGGTGTTGTTTCCGGCTTTCTGCAGGGTCCGTGCCGAAATTAAGCTATAATCATGTAAGTAATTTTATATGAGAAAAGAGAGCATTTATATTAGGTACTCAGTTTGTACAGGTTCAATTGTTTTTGTGCGTGTTTGGACAATTACTCAAACATTGGGATTCAATTTTATAATGTAGCACTTGGATATAGAATCTCACTGTCTTTGATTGTCTTTGAATTGCGTTTTCAAATCACATGAAATCCTGAACAAAATTCAATGTTGTTAAAGTGATAATGTGTGAATGAAACAAGTTTTAGCATCGGAGTTTGTAGCAAGAAGAGGGTGAAGTTTGTCAAAATACAACTGGCCCTTGCCAGAACAAAAAGGATTGAATGGTGAGTTGTGGTTGAGATGATTTCATACTTAATAATAGTTGGGTTTGCAATTTCAATGTCTCATTAATTTTGTGGAAGCTATACAAATATCCATTATTATTTTTGTGGGTTTGAGCAACTCGTTGATGGGATGAAACTATACACTTTGACAATTTAGAGCTTGACTTGTTCCAGACATGTAGACACATTTAAAGATACCTGATTGTGGAACAGTAGAGGGGTTTAGTTTTGTGTGTTTTTAAAGAAGGGGCTCCCCAGTGTAATAGAAAGTGTGTATAGTGGACAATTTCTCCAGTGCTCTTGATTGATGACTGCAAATCAACGTGTTACTGATGTACACCTTCCTTTACTTGAATTTTGACTGTATTTTCAAATGTATCTCTGATTCTGTTGTAGCGGATAGATCCGTCTTTGTAAAAGGGATTTCTTTTGTCATTACTCTGGTTTACTGGTTGCGATTACCTTTTTTTACATTTTGTATGATTTCACTCTGTACCATAATACCAAACTGATTATTTTTCTATGAGTCACCATCACTCTCAAAAGCAACGTCTCCTACTTTTGCTGCCTTTCCAAACATTTTGAGAGTGCCTTCAACAACTCCTTCCTTATTGCCTGTTGTTTTATACTGTATTTAATAGCCTATTTATTTTTTACTTTTATTTATTTATGCTGATAAACACTGAGCTGGGATTTTAATTGAAGGTTGTTCTCTCATTCTCAATAAATTTAAAAAAAAGCTCAAATTGTTTTCTCCTGAGTTATTCATACTGAAAATTGTCTTTGTTGCATGTGTGGAGCAGTAGAGTATTAGATTAAACCCAAGGCTGTTATATGATTGACAGCACACGCGGCAGAGGAACGCCATGTTTGTTTTTAAATAGTGCCAGGATGTTTAGACTTCCACCTGGATTTCCTTATAATACTGCTGCATGGTTTAATTCCAGAGGTGGAACCTGTAATAAACATGATTGAGTGTTTCATTACCTGCAGGCGGAAACTGATGTCCAGCCATAAACACTGGCACAGACACACACACACGCATACCTTTATTACGAACACCTATTGAAGCCGTTCAAGTTAGGACCTCTGTTTTACTTTTCAAGTCTTTTGTTGGTGAGTTTGACCCCTTCTGCGTTGTTTTAATTAATTTTTCTATTAAAACACATCCAGCCATAAACACTTGCAGACACACACACAAAGACACACATACACACACAGACACACACAGACATTCCTTCGCATTCAACAGGGGACTACATCAACCAAGCAGGGACCTCTTTTGCGCCCTTGGGCCTTTTCTAAAACTATGACTGCGAAAATACTTTTTTTAAAAAGGTACTTATTTCCAATGCTGGCACACACACATGCATACCTATAATGCTAACAGGGGACTATCAAGTGACAACAACCAAGGAAGAACTTTCATTTTCAAGCCTTTTCTCAGAGTTTGATGGCAGGTGTGGCAATTCTCTTCATAAAACTTGCTAATTTCTGCGTTTTCTCTGTCTCTTGCTCTTTTTCCTTTTCATACAACATCAGTTTTCCCTTGTCAGCAACAAAAAAGGAACATTTTATTAGATTTCTGTCCTCTAATCAAATTACCCTGAAATCAAGTCGTGGGAGTAAAGTAAACATAGAGACTAAAAAACTTAGCTCTGACGTTTATATCAATAAACAACCCTGTCATCTGCCTTTTGATTACTTTTGCCTTGAGAAATGACCCGCTGCATGACACCGCATTTTCTTCTCTTATGAACTTCCCTGTGGTGTTACAGTTGAATCACTTGACTATAAAAACACTGTTTTGAGTGGTTAAATGTGTGAATCTGGCGTGTAAAACTGCAGAGGCATTTTTGAACATTTATAGATTATCTGCAGAGGCAAGGTTTAAAAAAGTATAACATGGAAACTGCTATTTTAAGATGTGCATTTCAAAACTTTCATTCTTAAAATTTGTTCATTTTTTTAGCTGGTGGTGTTTCAATGCTTATTTACAACCTTACCATAGTTTTAGCTGTAATATGGCCTTTTCGGTGACATTTTGTCTCAGAATACTTCCCACAGCAAGGCAACTGTTTGCAATACACAATGAATTGGGGTGAATTTTAAGACAGACAGCTCACCATGTGCACTGTGTGTGTACATGGGGCTCCTACTGAAAATTTTCAACATGTAATGTGTGAGAACAAAGATAAAGAGATTTACACCTGCTTAGAACCAACATGCAAAAAAAATGTCATAAAATAAAAATGTTAGCGCCAGTAAATTCAGCATGTCCCAACATGCCTGATACTTGGTTTGTGCCTCACCTTGAGGGATCCACTTTTTCTTATCTGGCTCCCTGTGACCTTGCAGTGGCAGGAAAGTCCCTGGCGCCCTGCATTAGAAAATTATCAGCTATGGTTGATTGATGTAAGCGACAAAGGCTAAAATGCATTCCTCAGATAACAGCCATACACTACAAAGAGGAATGTCAATATTTAGGCTTTGAATTAATCAGTAGCAGAGGAAGGTTCAGTGTGGTAGGATCATGGGAACTTAGATGTGACACTAAGTCCTCTTTGAGGTCTTGACTTCCAGCTGGGTGTGTGTCCTTACCTCCTTTAAACTACAGGGATGCCTAGAAATAGTCTCAGCTTTGTGCGGTGGCTGTAAACCGTCAAGGTCTTCTACAATTTTCCATCCACAGTGTTTCACATCGTGGGTTTTTTTTTCACTGTCTTCCATGGAAAAAGAGGAGCAGAGCCACACACTGCTGCTGCTGCTGACTGTACTGTTTGGATTTATGCAAATCCACGTCTGAGTGCGTCCAAAATGACTGCAGGAGGGGTTTGGTTTATGTCCCTGTCGTCAGCTGTAATGTGATTATCCTCGCTCTGCAGGGGCTGAATGTGTGGAAGTTTGTGTCTTGTCATTAGGACTGTAAATGACAGGGATGCATGGGGAGACAGAGAAATAGCAGGGGGAGAGGGTGGGGGCAGGGGAGGGGGGGTAGAGCTGGAGATTTGAGCCATACCAGGGCTTTACTGCAGGCCACAATAGCATGTGCGGTGATTGTGTTGAAGGCTTGGCGTCCAGGGACAGAGCCTCCCCCTGTGGACTAGTGTATGTGGGGGCCGCGGCTTTCGCTTTCAGAGCTTTTCCCCTCCTTCTTGTGGCTTGTTAGATGTCTTTGTTCTCAGGGCGAAGGTCAATTTGAAAGAAGTAAGGAAGAAGGAAAACATTACCAAGGCTCTGTTCATGTATGACCCCTCCCTACACTGCGGCTCTTCCATTTTTATATTTTGCTTTATGTTCTACTGAAAGGCCTCTCTCTTTGTCATGCGTGGATTCAAAAACCGGCAACGCTGAGGAATTTACATCCCTGCTAATTTTAGCGACGGGTTCCTGACCAGAAAACACATCCTCCAATTTCTGTCTATATTGGTCTCCCTGCGTCTTTCCGCTGCTGTTTCTCTCACCAGCGCTCCAGGGCTCCTACAGATTATTCTGATGCCTAAATCTCCCCTCAATTTTCCTGTTTTCACTGCATTCCCAATACAAAATACTTTCTTTTCCAAGATTACACTCTGCTAAAGCTCCTCTCAAGGTTTAATCCATGTAAAAACAATTTAAGCTGCTGGAACTAAATGTTGTAAATAACTTATTCAGAGATACAGAGGGGCAAATAATTATTACCAGCATCTTGCATTTCCCAAACCGAGCTGCTGGGGTCTGTTTGATGTCGGCACATGGCGGCACAAGGGGGAGAGGAGAGCAGAAACACAAGCCTCCTGTTGACATAAGCCTTGTCCGTCTGCAGACTCTCTGTATATTTTGAAACCTCTGTCTAATTTACTCCATATTCCACCTAATGACACCCCTGATGTCACTCAACACATTAAAACTCTCGCATGTCCTTCTTTACAAGAGCCAATAAACATCTTAGCCCTGCTGTTCTGATCATGTTCCTCTAGCTGCTCATAAGACAATGTATTCAGGAGAGACTCATCAAACTGGACCAGCAGGGACCAATCATACACAATAAAAAATAAAACCAGACCTAAAATCATCTTTAAACTGTTTGTCTTAAAGCTACAAGATAGCCAAAGTTTAAAGTGCTGCAGAATGACATCATGTAGTTCAAGTTTCAGCCGTTCAGTGTTTGAGGGATCAGGATTGCTTTCCACTGAGCTCTGCAGATGTGGACCACTTTTTAAACAAATCATTGTGTTTAAATTTTAAGTATTTGTTCATTGATGACACGTTTATTTAAACATGGAAGGCTTTATTAATGGAAAAAAAATCACATACTTACACTTATACAATTAAAGCATTCGGTTTGTACTGATTTTGTCAAGTGTCAGACACATTCTCTAACCAAAAGTCTGGTTCTACTTTCTTTTAACAGTCAACTTAGGACTGTATTGATGAAAACCCTTTTTTTTCAAAACTGAAAGATTGTAATTGTGCCACACATAATACTGTAAGTTTAAAGTGGTGGTCCTTTATGCTGGTCACCACAAGTCATAAAACTGAGGAGGCCAGATGAAAAAGAAGCAGATGACTGCTAGCAAGCCAGCTGTAGCAGCCCACTGAGAGAGGACAGGACACTTCAGAAACTTATGTTCAAATTTTTTGTGAATTCAACAAACAATGTCAGAGCTTGGTCGGCTGGCACTCTACCCCAGTTCCTCCAGTGTCTCATAGTTTCCTCTGTCTGCTTGTATGAAGGCTTATCGTTTGACAGGTGAAGCTGCTCCAGCTCCATTAATTGAAAACTTGTGAGGGTATAAATCATATAATTGGTCACCAAGGCAACCAGGAATCTGTATAAGCATCATGTTTTGCTATTTTGGTAGTAGCTGAAGTGTGTGTTAAAAAACATACATATATATATATAATTTTTTCAACATGTTAACATATGCATGTTCTAAATATTCACATCATATCAAAATAAAAATACAAACAAGATCATATCCAACTGGTGTCAGCAATGTACAGCATGAATGTTAAGAGTAGGAAAAACCTGTTTAAACGCCAAATGATTCCATCTCATGCATTAAACATTATGACAAGAGTTATCATTTAGCTGCTATTTTTGGATGTGGTTGTTCAAGGAGAAACTGCATCAGAGAGAAATATAATATGACAACACTGCAAATTAAAAACAAAGAGTTAAGGGTGAACCAAAGCATTCACCACCCAGTCCAAAATGAGCCCAAAAATCCCCCCTGTAAACAGTGGAAGCAATTAAACTCAATCAAATGTATCAGAAATGAATATTTAAGCTGGTATTGACAGAGAGATGGAGGATGTGTTCAGATAAAGGAATTAGGAAAATTAATAATTGTTCAAGTAAATTTGTCTAATCTGACAAAAAAAGAAGGTTTTTACACTTTTAAAAGTTAATGTTAATGTGTAACTAGTTTTTATCCCATTGAATGATTTAGGTCAAGCTGATTATTTTTTTAAAAAGTCAATGCTTTGTGGTAATGTATAAAGCCACACAGCATATGCTATCATATATTTGTAGTCTGTGTGTAAGGAATATCAAAACTCTATAATGTATCCGTACTCATGAGCCTGGACAAACATCCCTGTCTGAAGCTTGGTGATGCATTAACCGCTAATCCAAGAAGATTTTGAAAAGTTGATTTAGTTCAAGAAGGAGGAAACTTCTCTTCAATCCACAAACAATACTTAATCCTCCAGGAAAAGACTGTATATAAGGGTGTTTGAAAATAAATAGTCTTTACTGGGC